GGCCCCGCAGCGGCCGCGGCCCGGCCCCGCTCCCCCCGCACTGACCGGCCGGGGGCGGCGGCGGCTCCGACCCGCTCACGGCGCCATCTTCCTCCGCCGGGCACCGCCCTGCTGCGCCCGCCCCCCCAGGGGGTTTGGACCAATAGCCGGCCGGCTGCTTTGAGCTCTGGCCAATGGGGGAGGAGATGGTGGAACGGCGGCCAATCCGCGGAGGGGTAAAGGTTGATGGGCAGCTGCGCCGAGCAGTAATGCTCGTGATGGAGGGATGGCTCCGCCAATGGGAGCGGAGCTCTGAGGTGACGGACGGCAGCGGAGAGCCAATAGCAGAGGAGATCTCTGATTGACAGCGCGTGTAGCCAATAGGCGCATGCCCAGCCTGTGCCCATCCGCTGTTTGATTGACAAGGCTTCAAAGGGGGCGGACTTCCTCGTGGGCGTGACCCGCCCAAAACACGCCTTATGATTGGTTACCACAATTTGATTGACAGATAAATGAAGCAATGGAAAGCGCGCCGCGGACGAGCCGCGCTTGTGATTGGCGCAGGGGAAGTCCGAACGACGGAGCCGGATGACGTCAGGGGGTCCCCGGCGGGTGGGGAGTCCCGGGGATCCCCCTCGCCCCTCCCCCCCCACCGGAGGGACCCCGGGGGGGCCGGGAGGGGATCGGGGGGTCCCGGGGGAGAGGGGACACGGCGGGTTTGGGGACACGGCAGGTTCGGGGACACGGGGCGTTCGGGGGGTCCCTGCCGGGCCCGGGGCGCCCCAACTCCCCCCAGGGTCCCCAACCCCTCACAGAACTCGGGGCGCTCGGGGGGGCTCAGTGCCCCGCCGGGGATGGGGGGGGCCCCGTTCCCCTTGCGGAGTTTGGGGTTCGGGGCGCTCGGAGGCTTTTGGGGTGTCCCCAGGGAGGGGGGTCCCCAATCCCCCTGCAGGGGTTCGGGGGGCTCAGGGTGTTTGGGGGTTCGGGGCGCTCGGAGGCTTTTGGGGTGTGCAAGGCGCTGGAAGGGATGGGGGTCCCCAATCCCCTTGGGAATTTGGGGGGCTCGGGGCGCTCGGCGAGCCTGGGGGCGTCCAGGCTGCCGGCAGAGCCCGGCATCCCCAAATCCCCTGCAGATCTCGGGGTCCCCAAAGGCGACCCCCGCTCCCAAACCGGGGCGTGCTCAGTGTCCCGCAGGGGTCGCCCCCCACCCCATCCCCAATCCCGGGGGTCCCGGGGCCGCGGGGAAGGTGCGGGACCCCCTCGGCGGTGCCGGCCCGGGGTCGGGGGTGCCCGGCCGGCTCCAGCCCCACGGGCCGGCAGCTCCCGCTGGAGCCAAATAATTGCCGGTGCTTTGTTGTGCCGTGTCTGGGGCCGCGGGGCCTCCCCGTGCGGGCAGCCCCCGCCCGCTGACTCAGCCGGCCCCCAAAACCTCCCCGGGCTCGGGGGAGCGCCCCGGGCCGGCCCCGCCCGCGCGGGACACGGGGACAGCGCCAGGGGACCCCGGGTGGCACTGCCACCTCCCCGCCCGGCTGCGGGGACAGCCCGCGTGGCACTGCCGCCCTGCAGGGAGGGGACACCGAGGGGGGACCCCAGCAGGGGTCCGGGGGTCCCCGCGGGCTCGGCCGGGGCTGGCGGCGAGGGAGGGGACAGGGAGGGAGGGGACAGGGTGGCCCCCCGGGCGGGACAAGGCACAGCCAGTCCTGTCCTTGTCCTGTCCCCGTCCCTGTCCCTGTCCCCGCTGTCCCTGTCCCCGTTCCTGTCCCGTTCCTGTCCCTGTCCTGTCCCTGTCGTTGTCGCCGTTCCTGTCCCGCTGTCCCGCTGTCGCTGTCCCTGTCCTGTCCCTGTCCCCGTCCCCGTCCCGTTCCAGTCCCGCCGGTGCCGTTCCGGTTTCCCCGGGCCCTGCCTGACCCCGGCCCGGCCGGGCGCAGCGAGATCAGCACGGGACTAATTAAAACTCCAATTAAAGCTCGCGACGAGCGGCGCGCCGGCCCCGAGCGCAGCCGCGGCTCCCGCGGAGGAAACGCCGCCCGCGGGCACCGGGCCGGGAACCGGCGCGATAATCGCGATAGGGATCTGCGCCGGGCGGGCCTGGCCCCGGGCAGCGGGTGGGCAGCGCCGTGCCAGCCGTGCCAGGTGTGCCAGCCGTGCCAGGTGTGCCACCTGTGCCAGGTGTGCCAGCTGTGCCAACCGTGCCACCTGTGCCAGCCGTGCCACCTGTGCCAGCTGTGCCAGGTGTGCCCGTGGTGGCACCGCTGGGGGACGGGGAGGGGGCGGTGTCCTGGGGGCACCGTGACATCTCCGGGGGGCTGCGACACCCCCCCCAGGACTGTGAGCACCTCGTGGGGACCGTGACCCCCCCATGGGAGCTGTGACACCCCCGTGGTGGCTGTGACAACCCCCCAGAACTGTGCCCACCCCCCCCAGGACTGTGACACCTCCGTGGGGACCGTGACCCCCCCATGGGAGCTGTGACCCCCCCGGGCCGTGCCCCCTCCTGCCACCGCCACCCCTGCCTCACCCGGCGCTGTCCCCCCCGCGCCACCTCCAGCGGTGCCGGGGTGCCCCCGGGGCTCGGCGGGCTCAGCGCCACCCCCGCGCCACCCCCCGGGCCCGTCTGGGCGTGGGGCCCCCCGAAAGCCGCGGGGAACCGGGCCAGCCCCGCCCGTGCCCGTCTGGGGCCCCGCGGGCACCCCGGGGTGTCCCCCGGGCACGGGGCGACCCAGACGGCGCAGCCCCGTGGCAGGGCCCTGTGTCACTGCCCTGTGTCACAGCCCCGTGGCACTGCCCCCCCCGGGCACCCCGAGTGCGTGACCAGCCCCCCCCAGTGCGCAGGGACGTGCTCGGGGACAGGCAGGAGCTGGGACCCCGGTGTGCCACCCCTGTGCCACCCCCTGTGCCACCCCCGTGACCCCCCCCGGCCCCCCTGTGACCCCCCTGTGCCACCCCTGTGACACCCCCTGTGCCACCCCCTGTGCCACCCCTGTGACACCCCCTGTGTCCCCCCCGTGCCAGCTCTGGGGACCCCCCGAGCTCCCGCTGCGGTTTTGGGGAGCAGCGACCCCCCTGTCCCCCCCTGTCCCCCCGGTCCCTCCCCCCGATCTCTCGGAGGGATTGGCGGCATTTGCCTCTTGCCTTATAATTTATGCAAATGAGCTCTGTAATTAGCAGTAATTTCAAGGCACGGCTCGGGGTTTCAGACGCTCGCTGGCGAGAGGAGCTCCCCCCCGGGAAGCGCCGTGATTCCCCCCGGGTGGTCCCAGCTCTGCCTGGGGGGCTCCAGGAGCCCCCAGACCCCAAATCCCGGTGCCCCCGGTGCCCCCAGTGCCCCCAGTGCCCCCGGTGCCCCCAGTGCCCCTCCACAGCCTCCCCTGCTCGCCCCAGCAGGATCCCAGACAGGATCTGTTTTGGGGAGGGTCCGGAGGGTCCCAGGGGGGTTTTTCCCCAAATCCCGGTGCCCCCGGTGCCCCCAGTGCCCCTCCACAGCCTCCCCTGCTCGCCCCAGCAGGACCCCAGCCCGGCTCTGTTTTGGGGAGGGGCCGGGGGGTCCCAGGGCGGTTTTGGGGTGCGGTGCTGGTGGGGTGAGGTGGTCGTGGCCCTCCCAATTCCCCGTCCCTGTCCCCACGCGTCCCCCACGTCCTCCCCCCCTGCAGCCCCTTCCTGGAGCGGGGACGGCCGGGGCGGGAGAGCCTGGGAGCACTGGGAGTACTGGGAGTACTGGGAGCGCTGGGAGAGCCTGGGAGCGCTGGGAGCACTGGGAGCGCTGGGAGCACTGGGAGCAGCCCCTGGAGCAAAGGGACAGGGACAGGGACAGGCCACGTGTGCAGGGTGGCGGCACTGGGGGCACTGGGAGAGCCTGGGAGCACTGGGAGCAGCCCCTGGAGCAAAGGGACAGGGACAGGGACAGGCCACGTGTGCAGGGTGGCTGAGGGGCAGCTGGGGACCAGGAGGCACGGCAGGGATGGGAATGGGACTGGGATGGGAATGGGACTGGGATCGGGGACTGGGAGTGGGGATTGGGATGGGGATAGGCATGGGATGGGAATGGGATGGATGGGGATGGGGTTTGGGATTGGGATGGGGTTTGGGATTGGGATGGGGATGGCTGGAGCTGCACATGCCAAGTCTGCCCCACTGAGCTGTTGGTGGCCACGACCCGACCCCAGGGCCAGCCCGGGAGCCCAAGGCCACCACCCCGACCCCGACAACACTCGGGGGTCCCCAAACTGGAGCAGCCACGGGAACAGCCCTGGACCCCCCGGGCAGGCAGAGGAGAGGGAGCACAGTGAGACCCTGGGGCTGGGGTACGCCCCAATCCCCCCAGATGTGCCCCAATCCCCCCAGATGTGCCCCACAGAGCCCCACGAGTGTGTTCACCCCCACTTCTGCACAACCAGAAACCCCATGGGCTGATTGTCCTGCTCCTTCCCACCCCGGGACCCCCACGGCAGGATCTCCATCCCAGGTCCCCATCCCAGTGTCCCCACTGAAGGATCCCCCTCCCCATCCCGCTGTCCCCATCCCCGTGTCCCCACCCAGTGTCCCCACCCAGTGTCCCCCCCCCCGTCCCCCCCCCGTCCCCCCCCCGTGTAATTACAGAACCTGTGTTTGTTTCCCTTGTGTTTTAATGTCTCTTCCTCACTGCCCGCCCCGTCCGGCTCCGCGGGGCCGCCGCCGCCTCTTCCCGCGGCACCGGCACCTGGGGACCCCCGCCGTGCCCACCGGGGTCCGCGCGGGCTGCGGCGGCCGCCAGGCGGGGCGGGGGTGGAAATGGGGACACGACGCGCCGGTGATTAAGTGGCTCCAGTGGCCGCGGTGTTGTCACCGGCAGCTGCCGGGTTTGTCCCTGCCGGCAGCCCCGGGGGGACACGGGGGGGTTGCACACCCCCGGCCGAGCGGGGACGGGCTCGGCCAGCGCCTCCCGGGCGGTTTTGGGCTGTCCCAAATCCATCGGGGTCACGGCGGGTCCTGGTCCCTCTCCCCAGAACCGTCCCCGTGTCCGCCCCCGTCCCGCCGGTGCCGCGGCGCAGAGCCGAGGGGCACGGGAGGCACCGAGCCCCCCAGGGGACAGGCGACATCCCTGCGGGCAGGAGCAGGCGGCCACCCCCGCGTGTCACCCCTGGATGCAGGACAGGGTCCGGGGGTCCCCGCGCGGGTGGCGGGAGGAGAGGGCGGCCACCTGTGTGCCACCAACAGGCGGGGGGGGACAGCTGCGGTGCCGGGAGCGGGGGTGGGACAGAAGGGGCGCCCGGGGGTCCCCAGGAGCGGGGGGGGTGGCAGAGGAGGCGGCCACGGGCGCGGGAGGGAGGCGGTTGTTGCTTTCTTCTTTAATTACCCCCCTGTTTGCGGTGTCTGCTGCGAGCTTCCCGTCCCCTCCCTCCGCTTTCATCCGCCGGATCCTGAGACCGGAGCCGGCTCCTGTCAAGCGGCGGGGCCGCGGCTCTGCCTCCAAGGGTTAAAATCACCGGGCCGGGGGTGGAGCTGGGCGGGGGGGCGGAGGGAAGAGCCGGCCGCCGGGCTGGGACCCGGCCATTCCTGCTCGCCCGGCCCAGTGGGTGCCCGGTCCCTGGGGAGCCGCGCGGGTCCCTCGGGGTCCCCTCGGGAAGCAGCGCCCGCGCCGATGCGGACGGGCCCGCCGGGACCTCGCTGCCGCTAGAGCCGTACGTACCCCGCCGCTGCGACCCCCGCCGCGCTCCGGGACCCCCTGCCCCGACCCCCGGCGCGGCCGCTANCCGGCCAGTCGCCGCTCGCCGCCGTCCGCTGGCCACCGAGCCGGGGACGCCGCGTGTGCCCCCGCGGCCAGCGCGCCCCCTCCCCTCGGGACCGCGGCTCTTCCCGCGGCTCTGAGACCCCTCGCGTGGTGCCGAGTCCTGCGGGGGCTGGACGGGCTGGACCCCCCCCCGTTCCCCTCCCCAAAAATCCCCCGGGAGCTCCGCCGCGGCTCGGGGGGAGACGATCCCGAACCCACCGCACCCCCCCGACCCCGCAGCGTCCCCCGCGGCCCCGGGGCATCCCCCGGGACTCGCGGCATCGCCCCCAAAGCCGCGGCATCCCCCGAGCCCGGCCCCGCCGCGCCCCCGTGCCCCCCGTCGGGGCTGCCGGTGCTGGGGGCAGCGGCGCCCGCCCGGCCCCGCCGCGGGGCGAGGCACCGGCGGAGCTTGAGACGGGGCCGGGCCGCCTCTGCCCAGCCCGGGCCGTGACTCACGGGACGCTTCAGCCGCCGCTGCCTCAGTTTCCCTGCGGTGAAATGGCCAACGCGTCGCTGAGCCCCGCCAGGGAGGGAGGGAGGACGCTGGGGGCCCCTGGGGATTTTTGTCATCATTCCCGGATGGAAAAATGTCCCAGGGAGGCTCCGTGCCCGGCTGGGGCAGGCCCGTGCAGGGGGGCTCTCCCCGCGCTCCCCCGGCCCGGGGTGGGGGATGGTGCCGCTGCTCACGGGGGGCTCGGTGGGACCCCCGAGCCGGGCGGGATCGCTGGGACTGGGGGGTTCCAGCAGAGCCCCGTGCTGGATCCGGTGGGCTGGGAGCGACCCCGGAGGGTCCCTCCCCTCCCGTGGGGGCTCGGGGGGCTGGGGATGCCCCTCGCTCCCCAAATCTGGGGGTCCCGGCCGTGGCAGCGCCCCGAGGGCCGTGCCGGGCTGGCACCGCGGCGCTTTGCGGGTCTGAGCCCAGTTCGGAGCTCGTGGGGAGCAGGGTGGGGGGCTCGGGACCCCGCTGAGCACCCTGCGGGTGGCAGCGATGGACCCCGCAGTGCAGCCCCCCGCGACCCCCGCGTGTCCCCAGCAGGCAGGGACAGTCCCCAGGGCTGGGTGGGCACAGCTGAGCCCCCACGGGGCGGCAGGACCCCAAAATCTGCCCAGCTGCCACCCCGGGGGGCTCATCCTGCCGCCAGATCGAGCCGAGCCCCCGCCCCTGTGGGGGGGTACAGGGGGGTCCCGTCGGGGGGATTTTGGGACCCCTCCCCAAACTCCCACCCCGATTTTGGGGTCCCCCGCCGGCCCGGGTGACTCCTGGCAGGGGAAATCGGGGTCCCCAGGCCTCTGAGGGGTCCCCAGCACTGTGGGGACCCGGGAACCACGACGCTGGCAGCGGGGTGCTCTGGGGGTCCGTTCCGGGGATCCCCCACCCCAAATCGCCCAGCACCCCCCAGGCGTGTCCCCGAGGCTCCGTCCCTGTCCCGCGCGGGCCGGGGGGTGGCGGGGACACGGGGATGGCGACGAGCGCGGCCAGGGGGAGGGGGCTCAGGGCGGGGGGGTCTCGGCCGCCCCTCGGCGCGCTGGGAGCGGGGGGGGAGCCGGTGGCGGCAGGTGGATTTCGACACCGGGGTGGGGCCCGTCCCCAGCCCCGTGGGGCTTGCACGGCTCCCGCTGAGTCACGGCCGCCCTGCTGGAGGCTGCGGCCGCCCGGGGGTCTGGGGGCGCCCCGGGGGTGCCCCGGGGGTGCTCCGGGGGTAGAGCCGGCCCGAGCCCGGCTTCAAAGCGCTGCCCGGGGCTCGGCCCGCGGCGCCGCTGCCTCATCCCGCTGCCAGCCAGCCCGGGGGGGCAGCCCCCCCAAAAAGAGCCGGGGGCTCCCAGCTGGGCCCGGCCTTGGGGCGGCAGGAGGGGCTGAGGCTCCCCCAGCCCGGCTGGGACGCGGCACAGGCGGCTTGGCCCTGTGGGTGCCGTGTCCCCTCGGGGGTGCCCTGTCCCCCCCATGGGTTTGGGGATGCCGCCTGCATCCCCTCGGGGACCCCAGCGGTGTTGGGGGCACAGTCGGGGAGGCGGCCAGGCAGATGCTGGAGGTTTCCCCGGGTTTTGGAGTCAGGCACCGACCCCTCCGGGCTGCAGACGTGGCCCGCGGGCACCAGGGGCTGGCACAGGGTCTGAGGGGGCGGGGACGGCTAAAAGGGGTGTCCCCCCCGGCTGGTGCCACCATCCCGGTGTCACGGCGGCGCCGCAGAGCAGCGCAACCGCCTCGGCGGGGGCTCGGCGACCCCCGAACCGCGGCTGCCGGGCGCTGCGGACGCCTCCGGTGCCGGTGCCGGTGCGCGCGGGGACGGGGGGAGCGGAGCTGCGCCCCCCCCTCCTCTCAGAGCTCTTCTCCCCCTCCCCGCCCCGCCGGGCCCCGCAGGTCTGTGCGCGCCGCCCCGCAATGCTGACGGCGGTCTGCGGCTCCCTGGGATCCCAGCCCTCGGACGCGCCCCGCGCCTCCCCGACCCACCTGGACCTGCAGCCGCTGCAGCCCTTCCAGCCGCACGGCCCCGCCGCCCCCGGGGCCCCCGACTTCGCCTCGCCGCTGCCCCCGCCCGAGCTGCCGCTGCCGGGGCCCGACGACGCCGCCTTCGCCGCCGCCGCCGCCGGTGCCTACGAGCCCCATGGCCCCCCGAGGTTAGAGCTGCCCCCCGACGGCCCCGCCGCGCCCGGAGCCTACGCCAAGCTGCTGCCGGCCGGCCCGGACATGGCGCACCCCTACGAGCCCTGGTTCCGGCCCCCGCACGCCGGAGCCCCCGGCGAGGAGGGCGGAGGCGTCAACTGGTGGGACCTCCACGCCGGAGCCAGCTGGATGGAGCTGCCCGGGCAGGGCGGGGGGCTGCCGGTGCCCGCGCACCCCGGGCTGCCCGCGGGGCTGGGCGGCTACGGCGGGGGCGAGCACCAGCTCTGCGCGCCCCCCGCCCACCTGCTGCCGCCGCCCGCGCAGCATCTCCTGGCCGCTGGGGCAGGCGGCGTGCCGCTGCCCCAACTGCCAGGAGGCGGAGAGGGGCGGCCCGTGCCCCGAGGGGGCGAAGCGCAAGCACCTGCACAACTGCCACATCCCGGGCTGCGGCAAGGCGTACGCCAAGACCTCCCACCTGAAAGCCCACCTGCGCTGGCACAGCGGCGACCGGCCCTTCGTGTGCAACTGGCTCTTCTGCGGCAAGCGCTTCACCCGCTCCGACGAGCTGCAGCGGCACCTCCAGACCCACACGGGCGCCAAGAAGTTCTCCTGCCCCGTCTGCGGCCGCGTCTTCATGCGCAGCGACCACCTGGGCAAGCACATGAAGACGCACGACGGGGGCAAGGAGGGGCCCGAGCCCGAGCCCAAAGGCGCCGGGGACGCGCCGGCCGCCAAGGGAGGCAAGAGGGAGCCGGAGGGGGGCACGGCCGCCCCCACAAACTGAGCCGCTGAGCCCCGGGGGGCACACGGGGGGCCGGGGGGACCCTTCGGGGCCGGTCTCCGGAGGGGTGGGCGCAGGGCTGGCACCTTGTGCCGGGAGCGGTGGCGCGGCCGGGCACGGGGCGGGGGGCTCGGCCCGGCACGGGGCTCGGGGCTCGCCCCCCCCCCCCCCCCCCCCCCCCCCCGGCCTCCCAAATTTTTTTTTTTTTTTTTTTTTTTTTCGGGAGGCTGCTGGCAGGCGGCGGGGCTGTTTGGGAGGAACATCAATGGGAGCCGAAGGAGCAGGAGCTGCCCGGGCACGTCCAGCCCAAAGGGGAGGAAGGAGAAGGAGAAAGGGAGAGAGCAGAGGAGAAAGCCGGGAGCCCCGGCTCGGGGGGGCGGCGCAGCCCCCGGCGCCCTCCCCGCGGTCCCCTCCGAACTGTGGCACCCGGGCTCAGCCCCAGCCGTGCCAGCCCCGTTCTCCCGTCACCCGCGGGCGACAGGCGGGGGTCGGGGGCTGGCGCCGTCCCCCTGCCCCAGCCGGGGATGCTGAGCCGGCGGGGGTCCCCCGCCCCCCAGAGCCCCGCTTCGGCTGTGGGGCTCGTGGGTGTCAAACCCATTTTTGGCCTGAATCGTGGCTAAAATGGAGAGAAAGGGAAAAGAAAAAAAGAAATCCTGCGCGCAAGTGAGCCGTGGGGAGCTCGGGGGCCGCGGGGGCCGCGGCGGGCGGGGGCCCGAGCGCACGCCTGCAGCTTTCCCACGCCCACCGCCCACCGGGCGGGGAGCACCGGGGCGGCCGCGGGCCCGGGAGAGCCGGGACGGCCGCATTCCTCCGGCCTGGCACGGCCGCGCTGCCCGCCCGCCCCCCGGGCCGGCTGCCCTCCCCTGTCCCCTCGGGGACCGCCTGTCCCCCCCGAGCATGCTGCCTGTCCCCCCGTGGCCCCTAGCCGTCCCTCCCCGGGCTCCCGTCCTTCCAGGGAATGCTGCCTGGCCCCTGCATGCTGCCCGCCCCCCCGGGGACCCCAGAGCTGTCCCTCCCCGGGTCCCTGCGCCTCCCGGGGCACCCCGGGCCTTCCCCCCGCAGGGACCCCGTAGTTTTCCTGCCCTGGGGTCGCCCCCTGTCCCCAGGGCCCCCCGTATCTGTCCCACGCCCCTGGCCGGGGGTCCGTGAATCTCGGTTTTTTGGTCTTTTGGGGTCTTACACCCCGATTTTGGCAGAACCCCTCGGACACAGAAGGAGACGCTGAAGCCGGGACCTGGGGAGGGGGTTTGGGGGGTGGGGGTTGCACTGGCTGCTCGAGGCACCCGGGGGTCCCCCCGGCGCTGCCCCCCAGCCAACAGGAGTTCAGACCAGTCGGGAATCTGGGGAGGGGGGGAGATCTGGGGGCGCTGAGCCCCCGGTCTGGCCCCTCTGGGGGGTCTGGGGGAGCTGCCCGGGCTCGGAGCACCCCGAGGTCGGGGGGGAAGGGGTAGAGGTGAAGTCGAGTGGGGTCCGTGCCCAGAGGGCGCCCCGAGGTCTTCGGTTTTGAGTGTTTTATTGTTATTATTAATTATTAATTATTATTATTAATTATTATTAATTATTATTATTTTATTAAGGTGAAGCCAGGCTTTGCCGCTCGGGCAGAGTGGATATCCCAGGCCGTGGGCTGTGCGGATGGGGAGGGCTCGGAGCCCCGAGGGTCCCGTGGCTGTCCCCGTGGCTGTCCCCGTGGCTGTCCCTGTCCCCAGGGGTGCTGAGGGGCTGGCAGCGCCCCCCCCGCGCCTGGGGCAGGGGCGAGCGTGGGGCTGGGCCCCCCCAGCACGAGGTGAAGTCTCGCTGGGGGGGTCTCGAGGACGCGCCCCCAGCCCCAGCGCGGCCACCGCCGTCCCCCCGCAGGACTCGGGTGACCTGGGCTGCCCGCAGCTCGCGAAGGACGTCCCCGACTCCGGGATTTGCCTTTTCCAGCACAAAATTCCCCCGATGGGACCCCAGGGGGGCTCGGGACCCTCCCCGCTGTCCCACAGTGTGGCACCAGCGGGGTTCAGCGGCCGAGCCCGGCTCCAGCAGCCCGGGGGGCTCCGGCCTTTCGGGGGGAGCCGCCGATTGCGGGGGGCTGCAGCGGGGGTCCCCGCGGGTGGGCTGGGGGGCTCGGGGCTCAGCCCCAGCGAGCTGTCCCCGCCTGGGGGGCTGCCAGGGGGCCCCAGGTGCGCGCAGCCCCCGCAGCCCCGGGGCTCTGCCTGCCGCGATGGGGCAATGAAGGCTGTAAAACCGGGTGGGGAGGGACGGCGGCCGGGAAACCAGTCCAGCCTGCTGCGGCGTGGGGATCCCGGCCCTCGCCCCGAACCGCCGCGTCCCCCACCCACCCCCGGGCCGCCTCCCGGGGCAGGGAGGGACGGGGCCCCGGGCTGGGGGGGTGGAGCGGGGCGGCCCCGGGGGTGCCCCCGCCCCGCCAGGGGAGCGTTTGTGCTGTGAAGAGGCTGCGGGGCTCTGGGGTTTGGGTTTTGTACTGGAATAAACGCCGCGTGTTTTCCACGCTCCGGCTCTCCGGCTCCATCCCTGCCCAAGGACGCGGGGGTCCTGACCCCAAATTTTCACTGTCAGATGATTCAGGGGTTCGGCAACTCCACCCCAAATCAACCTTGTCAAGGGATTCAGGCACCGCGACCCCAAATCTGCCCTGCCAAGGGGCTCAGGGGTCCGGAATCCCGACCCCAAATCTGCCCTGCCCAAGAGACTCGGGATCCGGCATCCCGACCCCAAACCATCCCCCCGAGGGGCTCAAGGGTCAGGAATCCCCGCCCCAAATTATCCCCACCAAGGGACCCAAGGGTCTGGAATCCCGACCCCAAATCAGCCCTGCCCAAGAGAATCGGGATCCGGCATCCCGACCCCAAATAATTTAGTTCAAGGGACTCAGGGGTCCCACACCTTGACCCCAAATAATTCATTCCAAGGGACCCGGGGGTCTGGGATCCCGACCCCAAACCATCCCCACCGGGGGGCTCGGGGGTCTCCCCAGCCTGCCCTCGGCTCTCCAAGGCTTCCCAGGACAGGGACCCCGGGGGGGCTGGGTGTGGGGGTGACACGGGCTGGGACCGGCCGAGCCCCCCCGGGGGTGCTGCCCACGGGGGGCTCTGACCCACCGGAACCCCCAGCACGCACTCGGGTCCGTCGTCCCCGCCCCACGGGAGGAAATTTGGGACCCCCGTCCCCGGGTTCTTTTGGGAACCTTCCCCCCGACCCACGCGGGTGCCGGTGCCGGTGCCGGTCCCGGTGCCGATGCCGGTGCCGGTGCCCCCCGCGGGGTCCCGGTTACCGGCGCTGTGAGGGGGGTCCCGTCCGCGGCCGGTGCTGGGGGGTCCCGGTTAGCGGGGCTGCGGGGGGGTGGCTCCGGTCCGTGCGGGGCTGCGGGGTCCCGGGGCGGGGGTGCCCCCCAGGTCACCCCGCCATGGGGTCCCTGATGTCCCCCAAGTTCCAGGGACCGCCTCAGCCAACAGCCCCTCCGCGCCCAGCCCCAGAGCGACGCTGGGGACACATCGGGGGCAGGGACAGGGGGCTGACACCGCCCTCGGTGCCCGCCCTGACCCAGTTTAGGATGGCGGGGCACGGTCCTGTGCCCTCGTCCTGCGACTGCTTCGTGGCCCTGCCGCCGCACACGGCGTCCCCCGCCGTCATCTTCGGCAAGAACGCCGATCGTCCCCGAGACGAGGTGCAGGAGATCGTCTATGTCCCCGCTGCCACCCACCGGCCTGGGGACAAAGTCCAGGTGAGCCCGTGCCGCGCCAAAGGGGCTGCAGCGGTCAGCGCATCGGGTGCCAGCTCAGCCGTGGGTGTGCCCACTGTGCAGGGCGAGGGTGGCTGCAGGGGCAGAGCACTGAGAGTGCCAGGTGTCACCCTGTGTGCCAGGGTGGCTGCAGGGACAGAGCACTGAGAGTGCCAGGTGTCACCCCGTGTGCCAGGGTGGCTGCAGGGACAGGGCGCTCACCGTGCCAGGTGTCACCCCGTGTCACGCCGTGTCCCCGCAGTGCACGTACCTGCAGATCGAGCAGGCGGAGCACACGCACGCCGTGGTGCTGAGCCGCCCCGCCTGGCTCTGGGGGGCTGAGATGGGCGCCAACGACTGCGGGGTCTGCGTGGGCAACGAGGGCGTGTGGACCCGCGAGCCCCTGGGCGAGGACGAGGCACTGCTGGGCATGGACCTGGTGAGGTGAGGAGGGTGAGGGCAGCCCCGTGTCCCCGTGCCCGCGCTGTCCCAGCCCCCAGTGAGGATGCTGAGGATGCTGAGGACAGCCCCGTGTCCCCGTGCCCACGCTGCCCCAGCCCCCGGGCTGTCTGACGGGCACTGCTGGCACAGGCTGGGTTTGGAGCGGGGCAGCTCAGCCCGGGAGGCCCTGGAGGTGATGACGGCGCTGCTGGAGCGCTACGGCCAAGGCGGGAGCTGCAAGGAGGAGCCGGTGCCCTTCGTGTACCACAACACCTTCCTGCTGGCCGACCGCGCCGAGGCCTGGCTGCTGGAGACGGCCGGGCGCTACTGGGCGGCACAGCGGATCCGCGGTGAGCCGAGCGGGCACCGGGGGCACCGGGGGCACCGGGGGCACGGGGCGTCCCGCAGCGCCCCGAGTGACCCCCGGGCCCCGCCGGCGCAGAGGGCAGCCGCAACATCTCCAACCAGCTGAGCATCGGCAGCGACATCACGGCCGAGCACGCGGGGCTGCGGGAGCGCGCGCGCAGCCGGGGCTGGTGGAGCGGCCGCGGCGAGTTCAGCTTCGCCCGCGCCTTCTCCCTGGAGAAGCAGCCCCCGCGCATGGAGGCGGCCCAGGCACGGCTGCACGCCGGCAGGGAGCTGCTGCAGCGGCACGCAGGTGGGGACACGAGGGGACACGTGGGGACACGTGGGGATGGGGACAGGACAGGGACAGGGATGGGGATGGGAATAGGACAGGGACAGGGATGGGGATGGGAATGGGACAGGGATAGGAACGTGACAGACACAGGAAGGGGGATAGGACAGGTACAGAGATGGGGACAAGATGGGGACAAGAAGAATAGAACAGGGACAGGGATGGCGACAGGACAGGGATGTGACAGGGCAGGGATGGGGACAGGACAGGGATGGTGACAGGACAGGGATGTGACAGGGCAGGGCTGGGTACTCATCCATGGCTCCCCAAGGGCTGCTTCCACGCTGGCAAGGAGCTCTTGTGGCAGCACTCAGGTGGGGACAGGGACGGGGACAGGGACAGGGACAGGGACAGCCACCCACGCCTCGCCCCGGTGCGTCCCCAGGGCCGAGCTGGCGGTGCTGAGGTGGCCCTGCCTGTCCCTGCAGGCCACATCACGGCGGAGACGCTGATGTCCATCCTGCGGGACAAGGAGAGCGGGATCTGCGTGGACGCCGAGGGGTTCCGCACGGCGGGCAGCATGGTGTCCGTGCTGCCCCGCGACCCCGCCCTGCCCTGCGTGCACTTCTTCACCGGCACCCCCGACCCCTCCAGGTGGGGCCGGGCTGGGCGCGGCGATGCGCGCTCCCGGCAGTTCCGCTCTCTCATCCCAGCTTCTCCTCCAGGTCCGTCTTCAAGCCCTTCGTGTTCGTGGCCGGCATCAAGCCGGCGCCGCAGGTGAGGTCCCCGACCTTCCTGCAGGATCCTGCCAAGCAGATCCCGAGGTTCCAGAGCTCCGTGGATCGGCGGCACGAGCTGTACCGCCGGCATCAGGCGGCGCTGGAGCTCATGGAGCAGGACCCGGTACCGCAGAGCCCGCAGAGCCCACAGACCCCACAGAGCCTGCAGAGCCCACAGACCCCACAGACCCCGCAGAGCCCACAGACCCTGCAGAGCCACAGACCCCGCAGACCCCACAGAGCCACAGAGCCTGCAGAGCCCACAGACCCCACAGACCCCGCAGAGCCACAGACCCTGAGACCCCACAGACCCCACAGAGCCCACAGACCCCGCAGAGCCTGCAGAGCCCACAGACCCTGCAGAGCCCACAGACCCTGCAGAACCCACAGAGCCCACAGACCCCACAGAGCCACAGAGCCTGCAGAGCCCACAGACCCTGCAGAGCCCACAGACCCCACAGAGCCTGCAGAGCCCACAGACCCTGAGACCCCACAGACCCCACAGAGCCTGCAGAGCCCACAGACCCCACAGAGCCTGCAGAGCCCACAGACCCCACAGAGCCTGCAGAGCCCACAGACCCCACAGACCCCGCAGAGCCCACAGACCCTGAGACCCCACAGATCCTGCAGATCCCACAGAGCCCATGGATCCCACAGACCCTGCAGAGCCCACAGACCCCACAGAGCCACAGACCCCGCAGAGCCCTCAGACCCTACAGACCCCGTAGAGCCCACAGATCTCACAGACCACACAGACCCCACAAACTCCACAGACCCTTCCCCACCCTGCAATGGGATCAGACTCTGAGCTCTCTGATCCCAAACTCCCTGAGCCCAGCCTGCAGTGGGATCAGGCTCTGAGCTCTCTGATCCCATTCCGGGTTGGATCAAACTCCCTGAGCCCACCCTGCAATGGGATCAGGCTCTGAGCTCTCTGATCCCATTCGGGGTTGGACCCGGCTCCTGAGCCCGGCCTGATCCCGGCAGGAGCGGGGCCGGCGGCTGCTGGGGACGCTGCAGGAGCTGGAGAAGCAGGGCCTGCAGGGCATGCGGGAGCTGCTGGAGGGCACCGTGAGCCCCTGCCCCGAGGAGCTGGCCGACCTCTTCTTGGACTGCGTGGAGGCCGAGATGAAGTTTTACACCTAAACCCCGCCCAGGTGGGTGGGCTCGGCTGCCCCTGCGGCGTTTTTCACGGACAGGGAATCACAGAACATTCCAGAGTCTGACCCTGACCCTGCCTGACTCCCTCCGGGGTCCCAGCCCCCATTTACCCTGCAGCACTGGGAGGTGGCCTCGGGCTGGAATGAGGTGCAAGGGAGCCCTCGGGAGGAGGAGCTGCTGCACCTCGGGTTGGGGAAACACTCCAAATTCTCCATCTCCTCAATTCGGTTCTGGAAAATAAAACAGGAATAATCCCAGCGTGGTTTTTATTTCGCCTGCTGAGTGAAAAATTCCCATTTTGGGAACGCTCTGGGATTGAATCCCTGCTCCAGCCAGTCCTGGGGGCAGCTCAGGAGATTCTGGGGGGGAATGGGCTGGGGGGGACACGGAGAGACCCCAGAATTCACACTGAGCTGAGCGTCCTCATGTGGGTTTGGGAACACTGGAATTCCAGGGGGGCTGGAACGGGGGGAGGCTCAGAGACCCCCGTGGGGGGACTGGGGGGCCACTGGGACAAAACCCTCAGGGCTGGGGGGAAACCTTTCCCTTCTGGATACTGGGGAGGGAAAACAGGAGCAGGACTGGGGTGTCTGTGGGACCAGGATTGGGGTGTCTGTGGGATCAGGGTTGGGGTGTCTGTGGGACCAGGGTTGGGGTGCCTGTGGGACCGGTGTCTGTGGCACCAGGACTGGGGTGTCTGTGGGATCAGGACTGGGGTGTCTGTGGGACCAGGCCTCACTGGACGGGGGCTCTCAGAGACGTCCGAGATGGAGCCACGGCAGCTCAGCGGGACCGGGCACGGCGGGTTTGGGGCTGAGGGACCCCCGGAAAGGCCAGGGGGCTCAGCGGAGCGGTTTCTCTGCGTTGGGGGCTCAGAGTCCCTCGCTCTGGGGGCTCAGCGACCCCGGCCCAGGCCGCGCCGTTGCTATGGAGACGGGCGCGCCGGAAGTGACGCTGCTCCGCCTTCCCACAGGCCCCTGCGCGGTCGCGGCCAAGATGGCGGCGCTGGGAAGCGGCGGGGCGCGATGGCGGCAGGGTGAGGGAGCGGGAACGGGAACGGGAGCGGGAACGGGAACGGGAACGGGAGCGGGAGCGGGAACGGGAACGGGAGCGGGAACGGGAGCGGGAACGGGAGCGGGAACGGGAACGGGAGCGGGAGCGGGAACGGGAACGGGAGCGGGAACGGGAGCGGGAACGGGAGCGGGAACGGGAACGGGAGCGGGAGCGGGAACGGGAACGGGAGCGGGAGCGGGAACGGGAACGGGAGCGGGAGCGGGAACGGGAACGGGAGCGGGAGCGGGAACGGGAACGGGAGCGGGAGCGGGAACGGGAACGGGAGCGGGAGCGGGAACGGGAACGGGAGCGGGAGCGGGAACGGGAACGGGAGCGGGAGCGGGAACGGGAACGGGAGCGGGACAGGGACAGGAATGGAACGGGGCTGGGATGGGAACGGGACTGGGACAGGAATGGGAACGGGAGCAGGACTGGGACAGGAATGGGACAGGGGCCTGGAATGGGAACGTGAGTGAGAACGGGACAAGAACAGGAATGGGAACGGGAATGGGACTGGGATGGGACTGGGAACGGGGCTAGGACAGGAACGGGACTGGGAATGGGATGGGAATGGGACAGGAATGGGAACGGGGCTGGGACAGGAATGGGAATGGAAGTGAGACGGGAATGGGAACGGGAACGGGACTGGGATGGGACTGGGACGGGAATGGGAACGGGCCTGGGAACAGGACGGGGTGTGGAACGGGAGCGGCGGCGCCGGTGCCGGTGCTGAGCGCTGCCCGCAGCCTGGCTGCCCGCCCTGCAGCTGCTGCGGCGCGGCTCCAAGGCGGTGACGCGGCACTGGAAGGCCATGCACTTCCAGCGGCAGAAGCTGCTGGCCCTGACCGAGTACCTGCCCCCGCGGGCCGCCCCGCCGCCGCGCTGCCGGCCCCGCCCCCCCGCAGGTACGGCACGGCACGGCACGGCTCGGCTCCGGGGGTGGGACTGCCCGGGGCTGGGAAACTGGGGACACCCCGGGGGTGGGACTCGAGATCCACGGGGGCACCTCGAGATCCACGGGGGCACCTCGAGATCCACGGGGGCACCTCGAGATCCACGGGGGCACCTCGAGATCCACGGGGGCACCTCGAGATCCATGGCATCACCTCAAAACCCACGGCATCACCACCTCACAGTCCTTGGGACCATCTCCGCCCAGCAGTTCCAGCTGTGGGATCACACCAGGGCTCCCACCCCGTCCCCCTGTCCCCAATCCCCACGCTCCCTGTCCCCAGGAGGACTGCTGCACACGGGTGCCGTGACACCAGGGCTGTCCCTGTCCCCAATCCCCATTCCCCGTGTCCCCAGGGCTGTCCCCAATGCCCACTCCCTGTCCCCAGGGCTGTCCCTGTGCCCAGGGCTGTCCCCAACCCCACTCCCTGTGCCCAGGGCTGTCCCCAGTGCCCTCACTCCCTGTCCCCAGGAGGACAGCTATGCGCGGGTGCCATGACACCGGGGCTGTCCCCAGTCCCCACTCCCTGTCCCCAGTCCCCATTCCCTGTGTCCCCAGGGCTGTCCCCAGTCCCCATTCCCTGTGCCCAGGGCTGTCCCTGTGCCCTCACTCCCTGTCCCCAGGAGGACGGCTACGCGCGGGTGCCATGACACCGGGGCTGTCCCCAGTCCCCACTCCCTGTCCCCAGTCCCCATTCCCTGTGTCCCCAGGGCTGTCCCCAGTCCCCATTCCCTGTGCCCAGGGCTGTCCCTGTGCCCTCACTCCCTGTCCCCAGGAGGACGGCTACGCGCGGGTGCTGCAGGCGCAGCTGCAGGCGGTGCTGCGTGCCAGCCGCATGGTGGCCGTGTGCCAGTACAACTCCATGGCCGAGGAGGACGTGGCCACGCTGCGCCACTTCCTGCGCCGCCACGACATCCACGTCAAGTTCGTGCTCAACGAGGTGGGGCTGAGCTCACGGGGGTTCCGGGGGTGTCCTAGGGACGTCCTGGTGGCTCCAGGCTGTCCCAGTGGCTCCGGGCTGTCCCGGTGGCTCCGGGCTGTCCCGGTGCCCCGTCCTCACCCCGGGCCGTGCCCAGGTTGCCCGGCCGGTGCTGGAGCAGTCCAAGTGGAGGAGCCTGCTGCCGCTGTTCGTGTGCCGGAACATCCTGCTGGTGAGCGCCGAGCCGCGCGCCAGGGAGATGCTGCGAGTGCTCAAGGGGGTGCCACAGGTCAACCTGCTGGGTGAGAGCCCCTGCCCCCAGCGGGGATCCGCCGGGGCTGGGAATGGGGATTGGAGATGGGAACGGGGCTGGGAATGGGGAACTGGAGATGGGAACGGGGCTGGGAGTGGGGCACGGGGCTGGGAACGGGGGACTGTGGCTTGGGAAGCTCATCCTGGACTTGGAATGAGGGCCCAGGGCTGGGAATGGGGGCCCAGGGCTCCGGAGGCTCATCCAGAACTGGGAATGCAAGCCCAGGGCTGGGAATGAGGCCCCCTGACAAAGCTGCATCCATGCAGACGAGGGGAGGGCAGCCTGCAGGAGCCAGCAGTGCCTCCCCACAGGGCTCTGGCATTCCGTGCCCACCCCGAGCTCCCCAGCCCCTCCCCACAGGCTCTGGCACTCCGTGCCCATGCCAGCCTCCCTTTGCAGGCGCCTGCATCGACGACACCATCCTGAGCCGGCAGGGCGTGGAGGGCGTGGCGCGGCTGCCGCCGCTGGAGGTGTCGCAGGGGCAGACGGTGGCAGCCCTGGCCCTGCTGTGCTCGCAGACCCCCTCGCTGCTGCAGCAGGGCCCCGCCCGCCTCACGGCGCTGCTGGAGCAGCACATGCAGCGCCTGCGGGGCCCCGGGAGCCGCTGAGGCTGGAAGCCGGGAGCCCCCTCCTCCCCTGGCACTGGGGAACCGGGAGCCCCCCGGCCGGGGGAGTCGAGGATCGCGGGCACAATTCCCGTGGGATTCTCCAGCTCCACCGAGCCGGGTCAGGGCCTGGAGGTTTGACACTGAGGGTGCTGTGGCCCCCCAGCCCCAGCGGGGAGTCGTGGCCATTCCCTTGTGCTCCCTGGGGATCGGCCCAGCGGTGTTCCAGCTGTGATCAGGGGTCTCTGGGAGCAGCCAGAGGAGCAGCAGCGCGGGATGGACCCTGCAGGGGGGATGTTGGGCACTCCAAGCCCCGTGCCTTCGGGCTGGGGCTGTGCTGTAACGCTGACCCCACCCCGGGGCCGCCGGCCTGTCCATTAAAGTGTCTGTGTGGAGATGCCAAGCCTCGTCTGTGATTTTGGGGGGTGGGCGGGGGCTGTTCCTGCCCCCCGAGGGTGGGGGGAGAGGCCAGGGCTGCTCCCGGGGTCTGAGGGAGCAGAGCTGGGGTGGGAGAGGGAAATCCCAGGGTGGGAATGCCCCGAGACCACCTTGGAGGGGTGATCCCAGACACCCCCGTGATTCCTAAAACACCCGTGGTGATTCCAGGGATTTCCATGGGATGAGCAGCCCCGAGACCCCCGTGGGCTGCTGGTTCCCGGGATGCCCGTGGGTCAGTGACCCCTGAGACCCTCGTGGGCTGGCAGTCCCCAAGCCATCCATGGGATGATGATCCTGAGACCCTCAGACATGCATCCTGAGACCCCCGCGGGTCGGTGATTCCCCGTGGGATGACCAACCCCGGGACCCCCGTGCGGTGCTGCCTCTCGCGGGGGTCCCCTACCCCTCTCCCCGGAGCTGCTCTCGGCTGCGCTCCGGAGCCGCCCCGGTTCCGCGCGGCCGCTCGGGCTGTGTCCGCTCCCGCTGTCCCGGCGGCTCCGGGCGCTGGCGGCTCCGGTCCTCCACGGAGCAGGGGGCAGAGCCGAGCGGCTCCGGCCCGCCCTCCGTGTTCCGCTTCCTGCCGCCGCCGCCGGGCAGGATGCGCCCGGGCCCCGCCGCCCGCCCGCCGCCCGGGGCACGGTCCGGCCGGCCCCGGCCCCGCTGCCCCGGGGTGACAGCGGCGCGGGGACGCGGGGATGGGCCGTGCCCCGCGCGGGGGATGGAGCCCCGGGGTGCCGGCACAGCCCCGCTCCGCTGCGAGCGGTCGGTGCCGATCCCCGGCAGCACCTGCGGGAGAGAACCGGGAGACCCCCGGTGCCCGCCCCGCGGAGCCGCCGGTAGCGGTGCCGGGTTATCCGAGGCAGCGTGGTTACTGCCGGTGCCGTGGTTACCGGCGCCGCGCCCGTCGGGGCGGCGGAGACCGGTGCCACGGTGATCACCGGTGCCGGGGCTGTCCCGGGGTTATCCTGGGATCCATCCTCCAGCAGCGGCCGGGACTCACGGATGCCCCGTCAGGGACAGCGCCGGGGGGTGGCAAGGCCAGGAGGAGCTTGCCCGTGCCTCAGTTTCCCCCTGTGGAGTGGTGAAGGGCAAAGGGAGCAAACGCCGGGCTTTGGAGGGGTCGGTCCCGGCTTGGGGGTGCGGATGGAGCGGGGCCCGACCCGGCCCCGGCGGTGTCACCCTCCTGGCTGTGCCCCTCGGCCGCCGCGCGGGGCGGCGGGGCCGGACTCTGGACCCGGACTGGGTGGCACAGCCGAGATAACGCCGGGCGGGTCAAAGGCTCGGCTCACGCAGAAGTTTCTCGGTGCCCGCGGCGGTGCCATGCAGAGCCCCCCGGGGGCCGGGCGCGGGGCCATCCCCGCCGCCCCCCGTGCCGTCCCCGAGCTCGCTGACCCGCCGTGCCCTCCCCGCAGCGGCTCCCGCCGTGACGGCCGAGCTCGGAGCGCCGCAGCCCGCCCGGGAGGGGGGGCTCGGCCCGCGGCCCCCCGCCCCCTCTGCTCGCCGGCCATGGGCAGCCACGAGAAGGACCCGAGCTCCCCGAAAAGGGCCCTGTCCCGCTCCAACAGCACCGTGTCTTCCAAGCACAGCAGCGTCCAGCAGGTTTGGATTTGGATTTGGATTTGGGGGGCTCAGAGTGACCACAGGGAGGCTTTGGGGGCTTCCCCCCGCTTTAGGATGATGCCCCTGTGGGTACCAAATGTCCCTGCCTGGGCCCGAGGTGGGCAGCACCTCTGGTGCTCAGGGAGCCCCACGCTGGCGCCGTCCCCGCAGGGCTCGGAGAGCTGGGAGGTGGTGGAGGAGCCCCGTGGCCGGGGCAGCCCCGGGCAGCAGCCGCAGCGGCACGAGGGGTACCTGCTCAAGAAGAGGAAATGGCCCCTGAAGGGCTGGCACAAGGTAACAGGCTGGGCTGGCACCGGGAGCCGGCTGGCCTGGCAGGATTTGGGCGGGGGGGGCTGGCTGTAGGGGCTGCTGTCCGCGCCCCCTCCCCGAATAAACCTTTCCCCTCCATCCCCAGCGGTACTTCGTGCTGGAAAACGGGATCCTGAAATATTCCACCACGCGCCAGGACGTGAGTGTGTGCCCAGGCTGTGGCCACGCAGCCTCCCCGGGGGCTCAGGGCTGGGGACACCCCCGTGGCCCCCCTGAGGAAGGGGGTCTTCCCCTGACAGGCGTCCCTGGGCTCCCCCAGGTCCTCAAGGGCAAGCTGCACGGTGCCATCGACGTCCGGCAGTCCGTCATGTCCGTCAACAAGAAGGCTCAGAGGGTTGACCTGGACACAGAGGACAACATTTATCACCTCAAGGTGCCACTGGGAGCCGGGGGCTGGGCTGGGACAGGCCTGGGGACATCAGCTGGTGTCCCCTCCAACTCGGCCCTGTCCCCCAGATCAAGTCCCCCGAGGTGTTCTCCAGCTGGGTGAGCAGCCTGTGCAGGCACCACCACGGCGAGCGGCCGGGGCCGTGTCCCCCGGGGGGTCCCACGGGGACCAGCGCGCAGGTGGGTGACACTCGGGGTGGCAGCGCCGGGCAGGGCCTGGGCAATGGCTGTGACAGCGATCGGTGCCCTCTGTGCCCGGCTGCAGGGCCAGTGGACACGGATCCTGCCCTCGGGCAGCGCCCCTGCCCTGTCCACGCTGGCCAGCCCCCGGGACAAGGTGAACGCCTGGCTGAAGGACAGCGAGGGGCTGGAGCGCTGCTCGGCCGGTGAGCGGGGCCCGAGGGCGTGCTGGGGCCGGGCAGGGTCCCCGTGCCCCCTCCCTGACCTCTGTGCCCCTGGCAGAGCTGTCGGAGTGCCAGGCCAAGCTGCAGGAGCTGACGGGGATGCTGCAGCACCTGGAGGCCCTGCACCGCATCCCCTCGGCCCCGCTCATCTCCGGCAGCCAGGTGAGAGCCACGGCAGGTGAGGGAGGGGTCCCGTGCCCTCCCTGCCTGGGGTGGGTCTGGCTGCAGCCCCCTCCTGTCCCTCACAGCCCTCAGCTGCCACCGAGAGGCCGAAGAAGGGCCGCAGGACCACCAAGATCTGGTGCACGCAGAGCTTCGCCAAGGACGACACCATCGGCAGGGTGAGGGTGAGCTGGACCCCCCACCCCGAGCTCTGCCGCTGCCTGGGCACGGAGCCCCCCGGGACACGCCTCTGTTCCCCCTGTCCCCCCAGGTGGGCCGCCTGCACGGCTCTGTCCCCAACCTGTCGCGCTACCTGGAGGCATCGCAGAGCCAGCTGCCCTTCGGCGCGCCCCCGGAGTACAGCCAGCTGCAGCGCAGCTTCTGGGTCCTGGCGCAGAAAGGTGGCGTGGGGCGGGGGCTGAGCCTGCCCGGGGGGCCCGGCGCGGGTGTAGGGACCCTCCGGCTGACGCCCGGCGTGTCCCCCGGCAGTGCACGGCTCGCTGAGCAGCGTGGTGGCCGCGCTGGTGGCCGAGAGGGCCCGTCTGGAGGAGATGCGGCAGGCGCTGGACCGGCAGTGCCCGGCGCCCCGGCCCGGCAGCGCGGGCACCGCGGGGGTGAGGGGGCACCTGGGGTGCTGCTCGAGGGGTCTCAGCGGGGCGCTGGGGGTCTCCTGTGCCTGCCAGCCCTGCCCTGGCTGGAGGGGGCCGGCCGGGGGGTCTCGGCTCAGCCTCGCCCTTCCCGCAGCCCGCCCTGCGCCGCTTCCACTCGCTGTCCGTGTCCTCCGACACCACCCTGGACTCCTTTGCCTCGCTGCACCCGGATGAGGTCAGGGGTGGGATGGGGCGGCCTGGGGCTGCCGTGGCCCCCCTGGGGCGGGGCTGAGCCGGTGGCTGTCCCCGCAGCCGGACGCGCTGCCCGCCAAGGGCCGGGAGCAGCAGCTCTCCAACCGCAGCATCGTCTCGCTGGCCGACTCCCACACCGAGTTCTTCGATGCCTGCGAGGTTTTCCTCTCCGCCAGCTCCTCTGAGAACGAGGTGAGGGGCTTGGGGGGTCTCTGCTGGTGATGAGACTCTGCTGGTGGGGGTCTCTGCTGGTGGGGGGCTCAGCGGACCCCCCGCCGCCCCTCGCCGCTCTGGGTTCATCTGTCCCCTCTCTCTCCCCCGTCCCACCTCATTAGCCGGCCCGAGAGCCGCTCCCCGTGTCCCCCCCAGCCCCCCCGGGGCTCATCCCCCCCTTCTGGGGAGCCCCTTCCCGCTAGCGCCCCCCCCATGGGGGTCCCTCCCATCCCCCGGGACCCCCGAAGCCGCCGACGGTCCCTGCGCCTCCTCAGCCCTCGGAGGACGAGTCGTGCATCAGCGAGGTCGCCAGCAGCGTCTGCGAGGAGCCCGCCGAGCCGGGGGGGCCGGGCCGCCCCCCGACAGGTGCGGGGAGCACCGGGAGGGCACCGGGGGGCATCGGGAGGGCACCGGGAGGACACCGGGGGGGCAACAGGGGCAGTGGGCACCGGCGGAGGTGCGGGAAGGGGGAGCCGGGGCGGAGGCAGCTCTGCCTGCCGACACGGGAAGGGGAAACACCGGACGGGGAACCGAGGGGAAGGGACAGCTCTGCCCCCGACAGCTCCGGGGAGGGAAGGGGTTCCCCGGGGAGGGGCGGCTCCGTCCCACCGCCCGCTGCCCGGCAGGAGCGGAGCGCCCGGGGCCGCCGGCGGAGCCGCCGCTGGAGCCGCCGCTGGAGCTGCCGGGGCCGGGCCCGCGGCGGAGGAGCCGCCTGCCCGCGCCCCCCGCGCCCCCGGGGGACGTGAGCCTGTGGGGGCTCCTGCGGAGCAGCGTGGGCAAGGACCTGTCCCGCGTGGCGCTGCCCGTGCAGCTGAACGAGCCGCTCAACACCCTGCAGCGGCTCTGCGAGGAGCTGGAGTACAGCGAGCTGCTGGACAGGGCCAGCCGCGCCCGCGACCCCCGGCAGCGCCTGGTCAGCGGGACAGCGGGACAGCGGGACAGCGGGGGGAGCGGGGACAGCGGGACAGCGGGGGGAGCAGGGACAGCGGGACAGCGGGACACCGGGGGGGAGCGGGGACAGTGGGGGGAGCGGGGACACCGGGGGGAGTGGAAAGGACTGGGGGCACAGGGGGATTTGGGACATGAAGGGGATTTAGGGGAGCTCGGGGGCAGGAGAACACGAGGGGCTTTGAGGACAAGGAGGGCACAGGGAGGTCCAGGGGGGCACAGGGGGCTCAGGAGCAAGGGGACATGGCTTAGGGACACGAAGGACTTTGGGGACAGGGTGGGCATTGGGAGGCCGAGGGCACAGGGCGTGGGGGGGGCTCGGGGGGCACTGGAAGTTTGGGGGTTATGAGGGGACTTGGGGAGTTTGAGGATTTTGAGGATTCTGGGGACCCCGAGGTCATGTGGGGACAGGGAGGATTTGGGGATTCTGGGGACACGGGGACCCCGAGGTCATGTGGGGACAGGGAGGATTTGAGGGTTTAGTGGGCTCAGAGGTGCTTGAGGGCACATGGGTCTCCTGGGACTTGTGGGAACGGGGGAGGGCACTGGTGTGGCCATGCCAGGCGTGGTGACAGCGTCGTGGTGGCCATGGTGACACAGTGAGGAGGTGGCCATGGTGACAGGGTGACAGGGTAGCCATGGTGACACAGTGACAGGGTGGCCATGGTGACACAGTGACAGGGTGGCCGTGGTGACAGGGTGGCCATGGTGACAGGTGTACGTGGCCGCCTTCGCCGTGTCCGCCTACGCCTCCACCTACTACCGGGCGGGCAGCAAACCCTTCAACCCCGTGCTGGGCGAGACCTACGAGTGCGTGCGGCCCGACCGCGGCTTCCGCTTCATCAGCGAGCAGGTGGGCACGGGGGGTCCTGGGGGGCACCCCGGGGTGGCCATGGTGACAAGGTGGCCATGGTGACAGGTGTACGTGGCCGCCTTCGCCGTGTCCGCCTACGCCTCCACCTACTACCGGGCGGGCAGCAAACCCTTCAACCCCGTGCTGGGCGAGACCTACGAGTGCGTGCGGCCCGACCGCGGCTTCCGCTTCATCAGCGAGCAGGTGGGCACGGGGGGTCCTGGGGGGCACCCCGGGGCTGGCCGGGGCGCTGGCATGTCCCTGCTTGTCCCCGCAGGTGTCCCACCACCCCCCCATCTCTGCCTGTCACGCTGAGTCCGACAACTTCGTCTTCTGGCAAGGTGGGAGCCCAGGAGGGTGTTGGGCACCGGGAGGGTCCCCCCAGGGTGGGGGCACTGGGGGGTCTCACCTGCTCCTGTTCTTCCTGCTCCAGACATGAGGTGGAAGAACAAATTCTGGGGCAAATCCCTGGAGATCGTCCCCATGGGCACCGTCAATGTCCAGCTGCCCAGGTGAGACCCCAGCCCCACAGATGGGCCCCCCCATGTCCGCCCCCGTGCCCCCCTGCCCTCCGTGCCCACCCAAGGGCGGTGCCCGCAGGACCGGGGACCACTACGAGTGGAACAAGGTGACCACGTGCATCCACAACGTGCTGAGCGGGCCGCGCTGGATCGAGCACTACGGGGAGGTGCTGATCCGCAACACCCGCGACGCCTCCTACCACTGCAAGCTCACCTTCTGCAAGGTGTGCCCCCGCCCCGCCCCTTCCTGCCCAGGCCCCGCCCACCCACTGCCCCACCCTGCCCCTCTGCATTATCACGGTCTG